GAACAAAAATATAACACACGGCCTTCCACATATATTTATAATTAATAATAGAATCATTATATATATATACTAATATATATATAATATATATATGATATATATATACAACACTATATATATATATATATATATATATATATATATATATATATATATATATATATATATATATATATATATATATATATATATATATACATAATATATATATATATATATATATATATATATATATATATATATATACATATACATATAACATACAGAGAGAGAGAGAGAGAGAAAGAGAGATTTTTACGACAAACAGACACACACGCGCGCAGAGAGAGTGAGACCAGAGTGAGTGAGTGAGTGTGAGAGAGAGAGAGAGAGAGAGCGAGAGAGAGAGAGAGAGAGGAGAGAGTGAGAGAGAGGAGAGAGAGAGAGAGAGAGAGAGAGAGAGAGAGAGAGAGAGAGAGAGAGAGAGAGAGAGAGAGAGAGAGAGAGAGAGAGAGAGAGAGAGAGAGAGAGAGAGAGAGAGAGAGAGAGAATTTTACGACAAACACAGAGAGAGAGAGAGAGAGACAAAGACAGAGACAAAACAGATAGACAGACAGAGACAGAGACAGAGAAACAGATATATATCAATCATATACATATTTGCTCAGTAAATGCTGAAAGAAACACTGTCATCGACGTCAGAGTAAGAGAAAGATTACAAAGGGATTGAAATTAATTCCACAGTTCCAAGAATCTCCCGAAGCAATATATTTCACAGTACAGAAAAGAAACGACATATCTAAAACGTGGGTAGAAATTACCGTAGATCATCTCACTTCACTTCATTGCAATGACCACTTCAAAGATTTTCCTCTCATTTCCTCTATTAGAATCATAAGAATCCGTATTATAGATATGATTGTATCTCATTCATTTTTTTTCCTTTTACTATTAATCAAAACTAGTATAATCAATCTCATTCACTTATATATATATATTTCTAAATGTTTCTTCCATTTAGAACTTTTCAATTATCTTCGTTTTTTTTTTATATAGCGTTAGTGTCGTCTCTAATATTAGCAATATTATTAGAATAATGACCTATTTCTGTCGTGGGTGACGTCACGTTTCTCCCCGAGGGTCTTGTTACACGCCGAGAGATGTCAGCACCTGTCTGCCCTCTGTTTGTTTGTTTGTTTGTTTGCTCACGGTCAGGAGGATTTTGTCGACTTGTTTTTGTGTTTTGCTTATGGTCAGGGATTTTGTTGTTTGTTTGTTGTTGTTTGTTTGTATGTTTGCTCTTTGTCAGGGAGATTTTACTTGTTTGTTGCTTTTGCTTGCTTGTTTGTTTGCTCATTGTTAGGTTGATTTTGGTGATTTGTTGTTGTTGTTGATGTTTTGCTCTTTGTCAGGGAGATTTTACTTGTTTGTTGCTTTTTGCTTGCTTGTTTGTTTGCTCATTGTTAGTTGATTTTGGTGATTTGTTGTTGTTTTTGCTTGCTTGTTTGTTTGTTCTCTTTGTCAGGGGATTTTGTTTTTGTTTGTTTTTTGCTTGTTGTTTGTTTGTTTGTTCATTGCCAGGGATTTTGTTTTTTTGTTTTTTTGCTTGTTGTTTTTTTGTTTGTTGTTCATTTGCAGGGGGATTTTGTTTATTTGTTGTTGTTTTGCTTGTTTGTTTGTTTGTTGTTTGTTCATTGCCAGGGGGATTTTGTTGATTTGTTTGTTGTTTTTGCTTGCTTGTTTGTTGTTTGCTCATTGTCAGGGGATTTTGTTGATTTGTTTGTTGTTTTTGCTTGTTTGTTTGTTTGTTCATTGCCAGGGGGATTTTGTTGATTTGTTTGTTGGTTTTGCTTGTTTTTTGTTTATAGTCAGTTTTTTTTGCTTGTTTCCTTGTTTATTGTTAGGTTTTTTGTTTGGTTGTTTACGTCAGGTTGTTTTTGTTTGTTGGTTAATGTTAGGTTGTTTTCTTTGTTTGCTTTATGTTATGTTGTTTTTGTTTTTTATTTTGCTTGGGTAGGTTGTTTTTCGCTCGCAGTTAGGTATTTGTTGTTTGCTTCTTGTTAGGTTGTGTTTGTTTGCTTGCTTGATTAGCTGTTTATCACTGATATCATTATCATTGTTATTCTTGTTGTTATTGCAAATATGATTATCGTCATTATCATTACTACTGTTATCATCATCACTAATCATTATCATTATCGTCATCATTATCATTACTATCATTACTATCATTAACATTATTATCATTTTCATCTTTACCATTAATGATGATAATACCAATTGTTATTATTACTCTGATAATTATGTTTCTGTAATAGTCTCTTTATTACAGTTATCATGACAACTATTACTGTTGCCGTCATCATTATCATTACCATCACAATCATGATCACTCACGATAATTGACATTGTCACCATAACAGTTTTTATTCTAGTTATTATCAGTGATTAGTATCATCACTGAGCTCATTAACGATATCATTACCATTACTGTCATTATCTTCATAATATCGGTTATCATAATTACTTATCCTTCTCATTATCATTTTCATCTTCATTGTTATCATCATTACTTCTCTCACTATGATTAATCCCATTATAAGTAGCATTGTGAGTATCCCTATGATCACTTTCATAATTATTATCATGATGGGTTTAAATTTCATATCAACTCTACCATGTTTAGTACAAATCTTCATCCTTTTCCTGTGCATTACGTTACTCCGCACACCCTACAGTGAACCCCGATATTCCTAACATAGAGCAGTGTAGAAGGTGAAGAAAATTCTGCTTATCTTATGTTCAAAGTTTATTGCGCTGAGCCTGGTGCTGGCGCGCGTCGCGTCAGGCAGGTGGAGAGGTGCGAGAGGTGAGGGGGAGGGGGGAGGGCAGGGTAACTACCCCCTTCCTCCTCCTCTTCACGATGGAATGATGAAGGAAAAGATTTTTCACCTTTTCCTTCTTTCAGCTTAGGATATAGCTGTGAAAGCACAGCGATTCAACTCAGACTAGGCACAGGCTGGGTTTTAATGGTACGTTTCCTCGGGTGCGAAATGTGACAGAAGACCACGTCCCGAGCCTGGGTTTGTTCCCTGCCCTTGTAGGTGGCTTGAGAGAGTGTGCCTAAATCGCAACTGTGAAGTACGTTGGCGCCTCTAAGTTTGGAACATGCAAGCATCACATCAATTATAGGAGAATTACTTTCGCTCTCTCTCTCTCTCTCTCTCTCTCTCTCTCTCTCTCTCTCTCTCTCTCTCTCTCTCTCTCTCTCTCTCTCTCTCTCTCTCTCTCTCTCTCTCTCTCTCTCTCTCTCTCTTTCTCTTTCTATCTTTCTCCCTCTCAATCATTTCAAAAATAAACTACAGTTATATCACAAAAAACAACAAAAGCTGTTGCTGATATACAATAGGTTATACATATCTATTACATAGCATACTATCATACACGGATATATATGTCAATGATATGATGGTTATATGTGTATATCGAGAGACGAAACAATGAGCCAAGATAAACGTCCATAGAAAACGAAGACAAGATCAAGGCTGGTTGCGAGGCTGGAAAACAAGCCAAGTAACTAGTGCTGACCTTCCCAAGCCGCTCGAGCTGAGGGCGCGGGTCTCTAGGTATAAGTCATTTGGGAAGAACCGCCGCTCCTTTCGGGCGATTAAAATTGACCTCCACTTAAAAGTCTATGCACTGTAAAGCATGGATTATCTCCACTGTTTGAGGAATGGTTTTGGAATGCGCTATTTAACTTCACTAGAGAAAAAATAATAAAAATGGCAATACTGTCTAGGCTACGAAACCCGATATTTTTTTTTCTTTTTCTGTTTTTGAGGGGGGGGGGCACCACCGGTATATCTTGTGAACCATTTCCTTAGTGATTGAAGTAATCGGTTTTTAAGTATATATATCTTTAAGTGGATGACAGTTTTAAAGTCGCTACTTCCTTCAAATGAGGCCAAGTGAGCGGCCCGCTAAGAGGCTAAGATTGTCCTATCTAACACGTCTGGAAGATGATGCAACACTAACAACATTCTCTCAGTTGACACAATGATGCTGAACGGTCATTCTTATCGCAGGCACGCTTGATGATGGAGATATATATATATTTATTTATATATATGTTTAGAATTGATAAAAAGTTCACATATAATAATTTATTGGTCTTATATAATAAGTACATGACATAAATTAATTGTAAAAAACATAAACTATTCTTATAATTATGTATAAATAAATTAGAAATAAGTTAAAATATCAAAATATTAAGTAAAATATTTACAGACCCTACAAGTTGCAATGCTGCAAGCATAAAAAAGGAAGTTGGTATAAAATTCTTGAAGTGCATTTATGTGTACAAAAATAAAGTTACATTGGCCTCCCCTACTACATGAGCACCCAGGCCAGACCTTACCACCTAGCTTAGAGCTCTGTCTTGGGTCGCTTCACTAAGGGTGGGGCTGCCGTGGCAACCTTGAGGCTACGTAGGACACGGTAAGCTAGTACAGGGTCCCTTCCGTCTGGCCTTTCCTGGCAGACCGAGCGAGGGAGGAGCCGGAGAGAGAGGAGAGAGGAAGAGGGGAAACGAAGAACGGGGAAATTCGGGGATGATTCGCCGGAAGAAACCCTGTCCGGAGGAGGACGCGAAGGCCGCGCCTTGCAGCGTCTCGGAGAAGTGGAAGAGGCGTTTCTTGCGGGCAAACCGACGGGGAGACGAGGGTGATGAGACGTGCGCCGCGGGGAGGAGCGTCGAGTGGCGCCGGCGTGGTGGGCCTCGGAACAGGGCGAGGTGGGTCAGATGAGGGTGGGTCGGCCGAGGGTGGCGAGGGCCCCACGACCACGACGCCGGAGTGCGACGCCTCCGCGACGCACCGACCGGCCGCTCACTCCGCTACGCAGGCCAGAGCGACGACTCTCGGGCGCGGCCTAAGACTTGAGTGCCGCCGTCGCCTCGCCGCTGGAGAGAGTGGGCGTCGCGGGGCGCGGCTGGGGCGCCAGGCCGGCCCTCGCGACGACGCTGGAGGAGGAGGAGGGCACGGCTGTGCGAGTCCTTCCCGCCCTCGGTGTTCCTCGACCTGAATTCTTTCCGTGATGAGTGAAACAGCTTTTCACGCCAGCTTGAACATCACCACCTTCGTCAACTCGTCCAAGTGCATCCGCATCTGCAACCGAAGCGCCATTGGTTATTTGGGGGAATGCGATCCTGTTTCATTCTGTGTTCATTCTGCTCACCTGCTCGTGTGGGAGCAGCTGGAAAGCAGAGGTGAACGCTAATGTGTGTGTGTGTGTGTGTGTGCATGTATGTATGTGTATGTGTGAGTCTAAGTGTGTGCATGTATGTATGTGTATGTGTGTCTATGTGTGTGTGAGTGTATGTGTGTGTGCATGTATATATGTGTATGTGCGTGTCTATGTGTGTGTGTATACATGTATGTGTATATAAATGTGCAACCTATGCTTATACGCATTTATATCCGGCCACGCGTGGCTGGACGTGAATGCACTCCAGCCCGCGTAGCCACGTGCATATGAGCGTGTGCAAGACTGCAACACTAAGACACTTACGGCGTTATGGAAGAGGCAGTGCGTGGGTGCCTCGTCCTCCTTGCCGGGGCACTGAGGCGTTCCGTCGCACAGGTCCAGGTCCTCGATGCAGCGCCACTCGCCTTGGTCCGAGGGCGACGGGCAGAACATCTTGGGGTGCCCGTCGGCGGTCTCGGGGCACTCTGGGGGGAGGGGGAGTTAATGTTAATGATGATGGTAATAAACAATAATAATAATAATGATAATAATGATACTACTACATTACTACTATACTACTACTACTAATAATAATAATAATAATAATAATAATCATTAATAATAATAATAATTATCATTAATAATAATAGTAATAATAATGATGATGATAATAATAACAATAAAAATATTAATAACATTAATAATAATGATAATGATAACAATAACAATAATAATAATGATGATAATAATAACAACAACAAAATAAAAACTGATACACCGATACGCCTACAAAATATACACAGCCATACAACCGATGTAAATAGCCACCCCACCCCCACCCCCACCTAATCTCCAGCCAATCCCTCGTCCTTATCAACTAAGATTGATTACCTCGAGGAGGACCCTGGGATTAGAGGTAGGCAAGCAAGGCTACCGGTGGCGAGCGAGAGGCAATCAGCTGATGAGCGAGATTGGGAGGCTGGGTGTGAGAGCGACCACGTAGGCACTCAGAGGCACTCTAAAGGCAGTTCAGCCATCTTGACGGCTATGCTTCTTGATGGAGTGGAATTTGACGTTTTTTTTTTTTTTTTTTTTTTTGAGAGGTGTGTTGGGGGGAAGTTGGGGCGGGTGTGGGGGGGTTGTTGCTTTTCTGTTTAGTTTGTTATGCTTTTTTGTTATCATTGTTGTTGTTAATGATAATGTTGTTGGTGATAGCCTAACTTTTCTGTTATTTCTCAAAACACCTTTTCTCTTTTGTTCCAAAGTGTGGGCCGGGAAATTCGTTAAAAAATCGGGGAAAATCGGCTTTTTTTAAATTCTTTCGACTCGGAGTAAGATTTCTTTGCAGTTACTTCTTGCCACCTTTAGATCCCCGGCGTGATCACTTCTTGGCAGGCTAATACAAGACCGCGTGTAAATCAATTCCAGAATGATTGCTACCATGACTACTCATCGACGACAGCTTAAGAAACCGACCATGATTCGGGATCGATCACCTATTGGCAGCTGCAGATCCTGGGTACGAGTGGTTTATCTAATTTTCGAATAAAAAAAAAAAAAAAAAAAAAAAAAAAAGCTCCTGAGTACACTCGCAGTATATTTATTTTTCGAAAAATATCTATTTCTTTATAGTTCGAATCTGCAGGCGCTTGTACCCGGGTATTGTGTCAGTGTGATTACTTTTTGGCAGCTTTGGGGCCCTTGCACGGGTTTCGATCACTTTTTGGCAACGCGAAAGAAGGACCCTGGTAGAGATCATGTCAGTCGCGAGATAAGTCAACTGCAAGTCATATCAACGCCGAGTCATATCAGCCGCTAGTCATGTCAGCTGCGAGTCATATCAACATGTCAGCTGCGAGCGGGTCATGTCAGCTGGGAGTCATATCAAGCGCGTCATGTCATTCTCCGCGGGCCGTGAGAGGAGACTTCAGGTCGGGCCGTACGATCGAAATAATGACGTCACGCATCCCTCGAAATCCTACAATGCCTCCCGCGGTGCCTCATAAGTCAGAGTGGCGCCCGTCCATTAGGTACAGCGCGGGGTATTGCAGGCGCGATAGGACCTCCTCCTCCTCTTCCTTCTCTCCCCCCCTCCGCCTGTGTCTCCTTCTTCTCCTTCTTCATCTTTGACTTGTCTTTCTCCTCCCTATCCACCTATTTTTCTTTCTCCTTCTTCTGCCACTTCTCTTTCTTCTTCTCCTCCTGCCATATGCCCCATTTTCCTCGTCTTCGCTGTCTCCTCCTCCTCCACGAACTTCCTCTTTGCTTTCTCTTCCTCATCATCATCATCCTATTCTTCCCACTCTTCTCATCATCTCCTTTCCACCTCCCCCTCACCCTTACTACCCCTCATACCCCTTCCCTTCCTTCCCTCCCCTCATACCCCCTCACCCTTAACCCCCCTTCACCCTCCCCCTCATACCTTTAACCCCCCTTCACCCTCACCCCCTCATACCCCTCCCTTTCCCCTTAACCCCCTCACCCTCACCCCCTCATACCCTCACCCTTAACCCAGCCTCCCCCTTAACCCCCTTCACCCTCACTCTTAACCCCTCCTCACCTTCACCCCCTCACCCCCGCCCCCCTCTCTCCTCGGAGCGTGGGCGGTGGGCTCGATTAGCGGTGTCTCGGTGACGTCTCCCTTCGCAGCACAAAAGACGCACTCATGCCCCTTCGTATCTGCTGTGATCTAACCGCCCGATACTCCCTTCCAAGCCCTCGGGGGGAGTAAGGGGGTAAGAGGGGGAGGGGGGGTGGGGGAAGAGACACACTCTCGGGGGTGGAGAAGGGGAGGGGAGGGGAGGGGTGGAGGAGACACTCTCGCCCCCGATACCTCAGCAACCACCTCGAGTTCAGTGAGAATAGGTAATCAATGTTACACACACACATAACGTGGCACGGTCTTCCGGATGAATCTTTTTTTTTATTCATTCATTTTTTCTATCTCCATTTCTTCTTTTCTTCTCTCTCTTCCTTTCTTCTCTCTCTCTCTCCTCTCTCTCTCTCTCTCTCTCTCTCTCTCTCTCTCTTCTCTCTCTCTCTCTCTCTCTCTCTCTCTCTCTCTCTCTCTCTCTCTCTCTCTCTCTCTCTCTCTCTCTCTCTCTCTCTCTCTCTCTCTCTCTCTCTCTCTCTCTCTCTCTCTCTCTCTCTCTCTCTCTTTCTCTCTCTTTCTCTCTCTGTTTCACTCTCTCTCTGTTTCACTCTCTCTCTGTTTCACTCTCTCTCTCTTTCTCTCTCTCTCTTCTCTCTTCTCTCTCTTTTCTCTCTCTCTTTCTCTTTCTCCTCTCTCTTTCTCTTTCTCTCTCTCTCTCTCTCTTCTCTTTCTCTTTCTCTCTCTCTCTTTCTCTCTCTCTCTCTCTCTCTTCTCTCTCTCTCTTTCTCTTTCTCTCTCTCTCTCTCTCTTTCTCTCTCACTCCTTCTCTTTCTCTCTCTCTCGCCCTCATACACACACGGTTTCATTTTATCCCCCATTTCGTAAAGTGAAAGAAACAAGAGTCTCCATGAATGAAATGCGTCGCGTCCGACACCTGATATCGGAATCACTTTTAAAAAAATTATCAAGTCGCGGACCGCCAGCTGGGAGGACAATGAAAGAAGCAAATGCAATAATGATACGAGCGAGACAACCTCCGTGATCAATGACGAGCGTGAGGCGGACACGAGAGACTGGAGACCGAGGGAGACCGTAGGAGATCGGGTGAGACTGGAGGAGACAGAGGGAGGTCGGGGGTATTGGCGGGGTCGGGGAGGCCGAAGGAGGCCGGGGATAGTGGAGGAGAGAAGCGGAGACCGGAGGAAGGCGGAGGGAGACCGGAGGAAGGCGGAGGGAGACCGGAGGATAGTGGAGGAGACCAAGGAAGCCGGAGGAGGCCGGGGTAGACCGGAGGCGATCGGTGAGACTGATGAGACTGGAGACCGAAGGAGACCGAGGAGACCGAAGAGACCGAAGAGGACCGAGGGAGACTGGAGGGGACCGAGGGAGACCGAGAAACAGATAGGAGAGACCGAGAGCGAGGTGGAGTCGCGCGGGCGAGAAGGGCACAGCAGCCCTCATAACATCCGCCCCCGCACCTCTCCCGGTGCTGCAACTTTATTGACTGCCCACCTCTGTGACCCCTCCCCCCCTCCCCTTCCCCTCCCCTCCTCTCCTCCCCCACACACACCACCCTCCCTTCCAGCACCGCTTCCCTTGCCCTCCCTTTCCCTCCTCCCCTTCCCTCCCTGTCACTCCCACCCTCACCTCCCGCCCCCCTCCCTCCCTTCCTCCCTCCTCCCTGCCTCCCTGTGCCACCCTCCCCCATTCTCTATCGCTCCCCTCTTGCCTTTATTCTTCCTACCCCCCTTTTCTTCCTTCCCTCCCCCTCCTCCTCCTTTTTTCCTCCCTTACCAACCTCCATTAACCTCCGTCACCTACCTCCCGCCCTCTTGTGGCAGACAGCCTCATCAAAAGATCAAATATAATGGGTTACAGAAATAAAAAGCTAATTAGTCTGACCCGATTAAGTTTGTCTCTAACCTTTTCGTGTAATTTGCATATCATTTATCTTTCTATCACGTTTAAATACCGTTACCCTGTGTATAATGTATGTCGGTACGCTGGTGACGTAACCATTATGAAGATCTGGAGTGAAGATAGTTTTCCAGTGACATTTACGAAGTCAACACATGTTGCACGGGATTTCCGCCCTTAAAATTGTCTCCCCGTCTGTCCTCTTCTCTCTTTCTTTTTCTTTTGTTATCACCCTTTCTCTGATTTTTTTTCTCATTCTCTCCCGTGTCTTCTTGCCCTTGCAATCACATCTCCTCTCTCTCTCTCTCTCTCTCTCTCTCCTCTCTCTCTCTCTCTCTCTCTCTCTCTCTCTCTCTCTCTCTCTCTCTCTCTCTCTCTCTCTCTCTCTCTCTCTCTCTCTCTCTCTCTCTCTCTCTCTCTCTCTCTCTCTTTCTCTCTTTCTCTCTCTCTCTCTCCCCTTCTCCTTCTCCTTCTTTCTCTATCTCTCTCTCTCTCTCTCTCTCTCTCTCTCTCTCCCTCCTCCCTCCCTCCCTCCCTCCCTCTTTCTCTTCATTTAAACCGTTGCTCTAGTCACGAAAATGCGAAAGATGAATAAAAAAAAATGCAGTCCTTTCGACACAAAAGAAACGAAACCTAATTGACAATCCAAGAAAGCGAAGCGACAAAAATAGACGAATAAAAACATGAAATAGCATAAAAACGAGAAAAACTTGGTCTTTTCTCCTCCCTTACGTGCTCGTTCATATTGTCTATCAACTAGCGGTGTGTTAGCGCTTTTGGGGTTAGTTAGCTGTTTTTTCAGGTTTGTTAGTGTTTTCTTTAAAAATATATTGTTAGCGCATTCGGAAAGAGGTGATTAGCCTTGTTTGAAATATCCTCGTTTGGTATTAGGCTTGTTATCGATTTGGCTTGTTAGTTAATGAAGGAAGTTAGCGTTTTTTCAAGTAGTTTGTGCTAGTTTCTAAGGCGCTAAGTGGCGTTTTGTAAGTGTCGGGGGTTTGTTAGCGGTTTGGCCTTGTTATTCTTCGGCTTCTTAGCGTTGTTTGTGTGTATTTAGAAATGCTGGTTGTTTGTCACGGCAAAAATGTCGTTTTCACTTTTTGGGTTAGTTTGCGGGACAAAATCCGTTTGCGTTCATACCATATCACGATTTTCTTGGCAATTTAATTTCAGTTTGACTAGTAATGAGAAGTCTACAAGCAGTTTGAAAGTTGTTTCTATTAGTTCTGCCAAGTGATGATGATAATTTTTTTTTTACGTAGACTTGAAAAGCAGTTCTGCCCAGCGCCGTGATAGCATATATGGGCAAATGACAGCAGTTAAGAGTTCTTCCTTCCGATAAAGGTGAACGCCGGAGTTGCTCTTAATGAACGAATTCCTACGACGGAGGGAGGAGAGAAACGCCCTCCTTGTCTTTTGTTTCGGCGACTGTCTTGTGTCACTGTCCGTCGCGCGTGGCACCCTTGCCTGGCACTCCGCGGTGACAACGCTGCCTCGTTAGGGGTGGGTGTATTTGTGTGCGTGTGTGTGTGTTTGTGTGTGTGTGTGTGTGTGTGTTGTGTGTGTGTGTGTGTGTGTGTGTGTGTGTGTGTGTGTGTGTGTGTGTGTGTGTGTGTGTGTGTGTGTGTGTGTGTGTGTGTGTAAACATATACATATATAAAATGTATATATATACATATACATATAAATATAGCAAGCAACATACTCCCCTTCTTCCCCAGCAACCCAAATGTCATAAGACCCGAACGACTTCCGTGGCCACTCCAGCGAGAGCTCAGGAGACATCAATCTATTGGTCGTCATTACTATTATCAGGTGAAAGTGGCCAGCTGATGACGCGGGAGTACCCACAGGGGGAGGGAAGAGGAGGAGGGGAAAGAGGAAGGGAGGGAGAGAGAGAAAGGCAAGGAAGGTGAAGGGAAGGGAAAGAGGAAAAGGGGGAGGGTGCAAGGAACGGGAGAAAGGAGGAGGAGGAGAAGAAGAGAGAGGAAGTGCAGGGAAGGAAAGGAGGAAGAAGGAGAGGGCAGAGGAGGAGAAAAGCAGAGAGAAAGTGAGTGGAAAGAGAAGGAGGGGGTGGAGTTTGAGGAAAGTGAAAGGATGGAGAAAGAGGAATGAGAGAGGGGAAGGTGATGAGAAGGAGGAGAAAGGGGAGTAGGGGGAGTTGAAGAAGGAATAGAAAGGGAAAGATGGAAAGAACCAGAAGAAGATTTTTAAAAAGAGGGTAGAAGAGGAGAGTAAAATAAAGAGGATATAGAAGGGAGAAAAGACATATGTGTAGGCTGTGTGTGTGTGTGTGTGTGTGTGTGTGTGTGTGTGTGTGTGTGTGTGTGTGTGTGTGTGTGTGTGTGTGTGTGTGTGTGTGTGTGTAGATAGATAGGCAGGCAAACAGGTAAGCAGATAGATAGGTAGATAGACAGATAGCCAGATATTCAGGTGAGCGTATGATATAGACAGATAGAAAGGAAAATGAGTGAGAGAGAAAGAACAAGAGACATAGCGAGAGCAAGCAGGCGAAACGAGAAAAGAGAGGGAGGAGGGGGAGGGTTATTCATTCATCTGTCCGTGTTTAGGCATTAAAAACGTACGCTCCATGTTCTAGCAAACGTGCACCATCGGCCTGAACAGACGAGTACTTAGAATCTCGAATCACCTTTAGCATCATAACAGATCCACAGGTATACCAGCATATTCCCTCCCCTTCGTTAATTTAATTTTTTGCCCATCTAATAATCCAGCGAGAGGCATCACTCCATAGCGTTCATAATCCAGGTAATAAATACGCCAATGAGGCCATGCGAGACTGCACAAGCGAGTTATTAAAAACGTGTAAATGAAGGGGCAACTCTCACACTCTTGCTGCCGGGACTCTGCGCGAGCCTCCCTGGCAGCGAGCGAGGGGGACGGTCCTTGTGAATGGACGTGAGGCCTGGCTGGATTTCACGTTGTTTATAACTCGTGTTGTTAGTCTTTGCAGTTGTCTTTTTTTTTTTTTTTTTTTTGTACTGTCGCTGTAGTTGTATTTTTGTTATTTTTTTAAACTTTGTAAATTAGAAATTGTAATGTACTCACGTCCTGAGCGCAGGTAGTAGAGATAATGATGGGTTTCGTATTGCCGCGACGTGTGTGCTTGTGTCTGGTGCTTGCGCCCTCGCCCGTGGTGCGAGCGCCGAGACCGCTCCTGGACGACGGCGTCTCCGGCCTCGCCTTCGCCGGCTAGGTAGGCAGACAGCTCCGTCAGGGCCCCGAGGATGCTGTCGGGGTCGTTCTCGGACTCGCCCGCCTCCGAGCTCCGGACGTCTTCGTCGTCGTACCTGGCGGAGCGGCCCTTCTTGCGGCGCCGCGCGATCTTTGGGTTCCACGTGCTCTGGCTGAAGGACGTGTCTTCTGAGGTAGACAGAATCGTCTGAAGGCGCTCCAGGTACGCTCGGCTGCCGGCCAGGAAGAAGGCGGTCGAGGGGGCAATGCGCGGCGCCATGGTGTGGGGCGGCACCCCCGCCATCAGCGCCTGCAGCTCCCCGTCGTTGAGGTCAAGGAGCGCTCGGAGGGCGCGGCGAAGGCGGGAGGGGTCGAGCGCGGGCGGGGGGCGTGACCGCTACCGCATCCCGAGACACCTCAAGGGACTGACCGCCGCGGCCAGTCACGGACTCGACAGAGGGCACGTGGAAGCAAGCAGCAGGCACAAGCAGGGCCAGCAGCAGCAGGGGTAGCACCAGCAGCACCTGATGCATCACACTACACTCTAAGTCTTCTGAGCACGAACTGTGCACTATAACTACAACGGTCGAGGGTCAGTCGTCCTCAACGAGCACAAGTCGCGTCACAAGGGCGGCGAGTGACCAGGAGGCGGCGGCGCTGGGCAGGTCCGTCCGTGTCGGGTCGCGAGAGCGTGCAGGGTCGCCGCGAGACTGGCTGCGGGAGGCTCACGGCGGCGTCTTATACCGCTCGCACCCCCTCTGCTCGCTGCAGCGTTACACCACACTTCAGATGTTTATCTTTATCTCACTCTCGCTTCATTCTCCTATATTAAAACACACATTCCTTCGGCCAACATGACAGGTCATTCTGATACGAGAGATATGGTCCCAGGCAGCTGTGTTCCCTGCGCACGCTCTACCTGTCACAACATGTTTGTACCACGTGCCCGCCTCTGGCCGTGCTTGTATGATGCTTATTCTCGTTACAGGCCCATTGATATATTCCCTTCAATGCAAGCTGAATGACGGGAGAAATCCACGGAAATTTACCAGAAATCGAGGACACAATAGGTGTATCTTAGAACATCTTACAAAATCTGACGCAACACTAGTCTAGAAGTCTGGCGGGCACATACCCACCACGTCATTCTCCCCCACCCTCCTCCCATCCCTCCACCACGCTCCGACCACACTCCGACCCAGCCTATCCCCATCCCCCAACCCACACCCCCCGCCACCGTGCTCTCCCGCACACGCCGCTCCGACCCATTCATAATATCCTGAAGCCTCGCTCACTCACCCACACCTTCCCTTCTTGATCTCCCAACCCACCCAAACCTACCCCAACCCATTTTCCTTCCCTGACACCGATGCGGAAGCAAGACCCACATTGCCAGCACGTGCCCGCTCTTCCCTCTGCCAACCCACCGCCCCATCCTGATCACGTGACGAGGTGTGCGCAGGGCAATCACACAACACACAGTCCTTTCACCTTTACTAAATTACTGAACCTTTCCCTCGTCACGTGGTTGCCCAGGTCAGCGTGGGTGGTCAGCGTGGGCGGGCCAATAGCAGGCGATCTGTAGAAAGATATGATCATCTTATCATGGTTACCTACGCCAAGAAGGTTTTTTTTGGTAGCGCTGGTTTTGTGAGGTTGTTTGTTACTTCGTTTGGTCGTTGGTTAACAGAATAACTAAAAAAATTATGAATAGATTTATATGATTTTCTTGCCAGAAGTGTGTTTTAGCCTAGCTTATATACCATTAAATTTTGGTGGTGATCCGGGATTTTTTTTAATGATTGCATCAGTTAATCCTATATACAGAGATAATTATTATCATCATTACTTTTATTACTTCCGCCGATGAAGGTATGTTTACGAACGTCATTGGCGTACTTGAGAAAGAGCGGATTTTAAGATAATTCTTTAAGTGTGAATATTTTTCATTGCATCAGTGACCCCATTTCCTGGCGAAGGTATGCGCTCTCTAAATTATTTTTATTATAGTTATTATTATTATTGTTGTTGTTGTTATTGTTGTTGTTATTGTTATTGTTGTTGTTATCATCATTATTGTTATAACTCTTATTACTATAATTGTTATTATCATAATTATTATTATCACTATTAGTATTATCCTTATTAGTATTTTTGTTATTATTATTATCATTGTTATTATTATCATAATTATCATTCATAATTATATTATTATCATTATTATTACTATTATTATTATCATTACTATCATCATCATCATCATCATTTGTATCATTATTATTATCATTATCATAATCTATACTATTGTTACTATTATTATTTATATTATTATATTATTATTATTATTATTATTATTATTATTATTATTATTATTATTATTATTATTATTATTATTATTATTATTATTATTATTTTATTATTATTATTTATTGCCGTTGTTGTTGTTGCTTTGTTGTTATCATTATTATTATTTTCATTATCATTATCAATATTATTATTGTTACCATTATCATTACCATTATTATTACTATTATTTTTTTCATTACCATTATTTCATTATTGACATTATCATTGCTATTATTATTATTATTATTATCATTATTATTATTATTATTATTATTATTATTATTATTATTATTATTATTATTATTATTATTATTATTATTTATTATTATATATTATTATTATTATTATTATTATTATTATTATATATTATTATTATTATTATTATTATTATTATTATTATTATATTATTATTACTATCATTATTAATATTATTATTATCATTATTATCATCATCATTATCATTATCATTGTTATCACTATCATCATCATTATTATTTTTCATTATTATTACTATTGTCCCTATGATTATCATTTTTATTACTATTATCATTATCATCGTCATTACTACTATCAGTATTATTGTTGTAGACGTTATTGTTTTTATCATTCTTGTTATTATTACTATTACTTTTGTTATTATCATTATTATCATTATTATCATTATTATTATTATTACTGTTATTATTATTACTACTACTATTATTACTATCATTATGATTATTATTTTTTTTTTACTATTATTATAATTATAATCATTATTATCACCTTTATCATTATTACTAAGCATTACCATTGTCATTATTATTATTATTATTATTATTATTATTATTATTATTATTATTATTATTATTATTATATTATTATTATTATTATTATTATTATTATTATTATTTTTTATTACTATTATTACTATTATTATTATCATTATCATTATCATAATTATAATCATTATCATCATTTTTATTGTTATCATTTTTATTGTCATTATTATCATGATCATCATTATTTCCATTATTATTGTTATTATCATGGTTATTTTTATCATTATCATCTTTATTATTATGGTTATTGTTCTCATTATCATCTTTATTATTATTTCTTCTTTTTATTGTTATCATCATCATTATTATTATTATTATCATTATTATTGTTATTATTTTCAGTATTTCTTGCCATCAAGATCATTATCACTATTTTTTATTATCATCATTGTTGGCATTCTCATCATCATTATCATCATCTTTATTTTGAACTTCGTCATCATCATCATTTGTTATTATCATTATTATTATTATTATTATTATTATTATTATTATTATTATTATTATTATTATTATTATTATTATTATTATTATTATTATTATTATTACCATTATCATTATTATTGATGTCATTATTATTGTCATATTTATGATTACTATTATCAATATCGTTATTATTGTTATAATTATTATATTATCATTATTGTTGATAACTCATATAGATATATATTTTTCTTCTTCTTCTTCTTTCTCTCTTTCTTTCCTTTCTGTCTTTCTTTGATTGCATTACTCGCTATTATCATGATTAGCAGTGCAAGATAAGGACATTTTGGGGGGGCTTGAATTATTGTTATCTTATTGTTCTGGCGGAGGTATGCGCTTTGAGTGCTTTTAGTTATCAATATTCTTATCATTATTATAAACATTGTCATCATCAGCATTATTACCTAGGTCAAGGAGGTTATGTTTTTGGGAGCGTTGGTTAGTAACTTTGTTTGTTTGTTTGTTGGCTATCGGGATACCCTTAATACGGTATGGATAGATTTTTTTTGAAGCTTTCACCAGAAGCGTGTCTTAACCCAAGATGCCATATATATATATATATATATATATATATATATATATATTATATGTATATATATATATATATATATATATATATATATATATATATATATGTATGTATAATATATATATATATATATATATTTTTTTTTCTTTCTTTCTTTCCTTTTTTTTTTTCTTTTTTCTTCTTTTTATTTTCTTTATTTTCTTTTCTTTTCTTTTCTTTCTTTCTTTCTTTTCTTTTCTTTTCTTTTCTTTCTTTCTTTTCTTTTCTTTTCTTTTCTTTTCTTCTTTCTTTTTCTTTCCTTTTTCTTTTCTTTCTTTGGTGGTACTCCAGATCATGATCCAGATCCAGGAATTTTTTAGATTATTGCATTAGTTACCCCTATTAAGTTGGCGGAGGTATGCGTTCTCTGAGTGCTTCTGGTTATTATTTTTACCATTATCATTGTTCTATCATTATTATAATCATTATCATCATCATCATTGCCATCATTATTACTATCATAATTGATCCACTCTACCATTATTATTGTTGTTGTTATTTCTATCGTTATTATTATATTTATTATTATCATTATTTTTATTATTTATTATTACTACCGTTATTATCATTTTCATCAATATTCTTCATTATTATCCTTATTAATTTATTATCATCTTTTCATATCATTATTCATCAGTATCATTATATTCATTATCATTGTTATTATTATCATTATTACTTATTTCATCATTTATTATTAATATATTATCATCATCATTATTTTGATAATTACCATATGAATATTATCGATACTATTACCAGTAATAATGCTACTGCTGCTACTATTATTATTTCATCCTCATCACTATTATCAGTAGTAGTAATAGTATGACTAATGCTATCATCCTTATCATCAGCTGCAGCATTATCATTATCGTTATCATTAGCATTGCTATGTTATTGTTGATAAAACTGTCATTGTTACAGTTATTCTCAAATTGCTATTACCTTTGTTATCAGTGTCATTATTTTTATCACCATCATTGTTAGTATTATAGTTATTATTTTTCTTTTATTTATTTTATAGTTATTGTCATTCTGATATCGTTATCATTATTGTCATTATCATCATGATTGTTGGTATTAACACTGTTTTCATTGTCTTTGTTATTTTTACTATTATGATCATTGTCATGAATTTATTTATTGGCAGTAATTATCATTATTATTGCTGATTTTGTTTTATTATCATCTTTATTGTTAGCACTGTTGCTGCTATTTCAATCTACATCATCATTGGCAGTATCATAGTCATTATTACCATTTTCATTATGTTTATTACTCTTCATGGTGATATGTAATATCAATATTATTA